GCCAAACGACCCGGGAGAAGGCGCCAGACCTTGGGTGGTTGAATTATGGTAATATGTTAGATAGGTGGTTGTATAGGGTTTAGGGTTTAAGGTTTAGGGTTGAGGGTTTAGGTGGACCCGCCACCCAGTGATGTTACTATAAGGAGATAAAAAAAAGGCTTATATCGGGGTCCTCTTATAGTCCTACGATACGACTATTACAGGGTGTGGGGTCCTCATAAGATATAGGGTGAAACTCCTATTGCACTTCAGGTTCTGGGTACATATGGGGGACATCAAGGACAATTACATTTGTCAGGATACCGCTCAAAAGATGTAACTCATATTCCTTATTGCGCTTTTGCTTAATGGAGAGCTAAAACAGCTTCAAACAATTACCCAGGAAACATCTTGGGAGAACAGCTTGCCAGCTCTCAGGCTTACATACTGGCTTTCCAAGTCCACACCCCACTACTTAATAGTGGTAAGTAGGGAATAAGGGAAAATAATATCTACATAATTCCTATAAAAAAACATTCCCTAATTCCCAGTAACCTTAGACCCCGAACCCTGAACTCCCTCTCTCTCGCTCTCTCTTTCTTTCTTTCTTTCTATATATACACATATAGAAGGGTTTATGTTGTGCAAAAACCGAAATCACCTTAATACATTTAGGAGTTTCTTATATATGTATGGATAATATTGACATTAGGTGTCCGATACATATTCTCTGCGTCTCAATTTCAAGGACGAAGTCTCAAATCTTTGGCCTTGCTTTTCCTCATTTAAAGCCCTTGTTAAAGTTGTTGCGAATTTGCAGGAGAATTCTCTGATCATAGGCTCCTTATAGTCTAGTACAAAGATCCTTTATTGAAATTGTTTGCCTGTATGATGTTGCAATGCTGGTTTACTACCCCCAAACGTGGGTTCCTGGGGCGGGGGGGGGAGCATATATATATATACATATATACACCCTTATTCCCTACTAACCCCCCGTAAGCTAAGCCACGGTGAGGTCATTGACAAATGACAAAACAAAGGCTACCTAAAGAATCTTGGAGAGAATCCTTTGACAAAGCAAGCTGAAGGATGCGGTTTAGGTTGGGTACTGCCCCCACCCAGTAACAGTCTCTATTAGGGGTCCTATTAAGGGCTATATGTAACCCTATTATAATTATTATCCAACTGTTACTGAGTGGGGGCAGTACCCAAGGTTTAGGGTTCAAGGCCTAGGGTATCAGTGGAAACAATTTCCCAAACCCTAAACCCTAAACCCAAACCCACCTCGATTGAGGTCTGTTTCTGGTTTCCGCTTTGGGGCTGTGGCTTGAAAACTCAGAACCCTAAACCCTTAGCCCTAAACCCTTTAAGGGTAAGGTTACATCTTGCCTAGTTCGCTGCACGAACTGATCTGTGGGAAGCGGGGGAAGTTTGTAGCTACCACTGCATATGTTACCCTATTGGGTCCAGGTACCTCATTAATCGATTATGCTTACCTAACACCTGCACTATAATTACTACTACCCCAAATCAACCCCAAATATCTCAATTATTGGGTACTTGGACCCACAGGTTAGGGCCCAAAGTGGCGATGGGCGAACATGGTAGTTTTTCCCAGAGCAAGGGACCCGCAATATAGAGCTCAATATGCAAGATCCATAGTATAGGAACCCCTACTTTTGGGAAAGCCTGATCCCCATAAATCCCTATAGACCCCTATGTACACCCTTTAAACACTCAAAAAGGGACTCTAATTCTGGGAAACTCCCACACACACACACACACACACACACAGGTGCCGAGGCTGGGGCAGGGCGACTGCGACAAACGTCGCCTCAGCAATTCTGCTCTGGATCGGCTACGGGAGTTACGTGGGCGTTCGGGTTTAGGGCTTGGGGTGGTGTTGAGGGTCCTAAAGCCTAAACACTAAGCCCCTAATCAAAGCCATCAAAAGGGTTTAGAATTTAGCGGGCTAAGGGCCAAAAACCATGAAACAAAATCATAAGAAGGTTTATAGGGAGCTATACGGGGTCATACGGCAGCTTCCCAAAAATTAGGGGTACCTCATTGGGGGGGGTCCCTATACTAAGGTTTGTAGTCAGCGGGGTCTATCTAGGGAAATTACAATATGCAGTTTGCAGAGCACGTTGTGCAGAAGACAGGAAGCTGTAGATTCGCACAAATGGAGTTGATGACAAGATGTTGCGTCGTATCTGCTTGAGCATGAAAGCCGTGAAACCTAAAACAAGTTGGAGGCCCTAAACCCTAAACCCCAAACCCCCAAACGCAGAAACCCTAAACCTCTGCAGAAGGGCTTGCTAGCAGCAGCAGCAGCAGCAGCAGCAGAAGTAGTTGTTGCTTTAGTTTACAAAGGCCCGCATCCTGCTCCCTTGCCCTAATCATAAAGACTCTTTTTGTATTTCCTGGTACTCGTACTCTAGTTGGAAGATTCATTCCCAGGGCGTGAGGATGGGGGCTGTTTCTTTTCTGACCGGGGGAACCTCAAACCCCTAAACTCCAAGAACCCAAACCCTATAGGCCCTGTAGATAGGGTACTGCCCCCATCCTGTAACTGTCTATATGAGCGGTCATAGTGAGGTCTATATAACTATGCTATGAGTATCCAACTGTTTCAGAAGGGGGGCAGTACCCAACCTGTAGAAACCCTAAATCCTAAACCCTATGCTCTAATCCCTAAGCCCTAAACCGTAAACCCTAAATAGCCATCACTTGGTTCTTCCCCTCCTTGCCCATGTCCCTCTCTTCGCTATCAATGTAGACGCCTAAATCCGTTTTAGGGTCTAGGTTCTGGTTTAGGGATTAGGGTTTA